TCTCATAACAAAATAAGCTAAGGCAACTACTTGCATTCGGTGACTTGATTTTTAAAATGAAAACCAGGGACATTTTTTGTTTTGCGGTCCATATCTCATTAAAATATCTAATATTAGTAACTATTAAAGAAAAAATGGGGACAATTCAATGTAGTTTGACCTTTGTAACTGCTGTGCAGACATACTGAGGAAATAGGGCTTCTATAATTACCTTAAATAAACTCACTAATTAATGAAACCAGTTCAATACGCATTATTCTTATTCTTATCATTCTTTATGAGCGCAGTAACGGTAAGGTATCTAATTACTTATTTATTTAGTATTCCATAACTTAATAACAGAGATGGTCAAATTAAAGTAGAGACATGGCAGAAATCCTACAATGAAGCGGGCAGTGAAGTGTTCTCCTGAGAGAGGGCGATCAAGAGAAGAGAGCGAGCGGCACGTTGAGGGAGTTTACCATGGATGTTTAATAGGAGTTTACGGAGCAGATGGAAAGACACGGAAAGACAGAAGCACAATAACAAGTATATTTAGGTGTTTTTTTGTAAATAACCGACGGTGTCAAGAGGAAGTAAAGTCCCTGCCATGAGAAAACTCAAAATCCATTTTCCAAAATCCGACACTAGAGGTGGTCTTAACGCACCGGCACCAATACAGTAGCCTATAATAAATATTATATATATAAAACGTAACATGTGTAATCACACACTTAGCGATATAGAACATAAATAATAAAAACGTAGGCCTACCTGGTTTAAAACACTTTTGTGGTCATACTGTGGAATGAGTTCACACTGAAACGAGTTCTTCATTCAAAATTTCGCGGGCAATTACATGTAAGAAGAAGGGGAAGAAGTAGAAGTAAAATAAGTAGTAGAAGAAGAATGAAGCTGGTGTGTTTCCCGCAGCGAGACACTACAATACTAATTGTGGGCTTATCATGTTGATTCGACCACAACAGAAGCTTGACAGACTGGTGACTGGAGGTGCAGCTGTTGGTATACAGGGAGAAGAGCAGAGGTGAAAGAACGCAGCCTTGAGGGGAACCGGTGCTGATGGTCCGGGGGTCAGAGACATGTTTCCCCAGCCTCACGTGCTGCTTCCTGTCAGACAGGAAGTCTGTGATCCACCTGCAGGTGGAGTCGGGCACGTGCAGCTGGGAGAGCTTGTCCAGCTGGGAGAGCTTGTCCTGCAGCAGACCCGGGATGATGGTGTTGAAGGCGGAGCTGAAGTCCACAAACAGGATCCTGGCGTAGTTTCCTGGTGTGTCTAGGTGCTGGAGGAGGAAGTGAAGGGCCATGTTGACAGCGTCGTCCACAGACCTGTTAGCTCTGTAGGCGAACTGCAGGGGGTCCAGGAGTGGGTCTGTGATGGATTTCAGGTGGGACAGGACAAGGCGCTCAAAGGACTTCATAACCACAGAGGTCAGGGCGACGGGTCTGTAGTCATTTAGTCCTGTGATCTTTGTTTTCTTGGGAACCGGGATGATTGTGGAGGTTTTGAAGCATGCTGGGACGTGGCATGTCTCCAGTGAGGTGTTAAAGATGTCAGTAAACACAGGAGACAGCTGATCAGCACAGAGCTTCAGGGTGGAGGGGGAGACATTGTCAGGGCCAGCCGCTTTTCTGCTATTGAGTTTTCTGAAAAGTCTGTTTACATCCCTTTCATTGATTGAGAGAGAGTCTGATGTGTCGGGGGAGGTCAGTGGTGTAGGAGAGTGGGACACTGAAGGGGAGGGGGATGTGGAGGTGTGAGACTGAGGCGTTGTGCACACGGGAACGTTTGCGTTTATGCACAGTATGCGCTTTCAAAAAAGTATTCCGTTCACATGCATTCGTTTAATTTAACGTGTCTGTTCAAACGAGACCGCTGGAAACGCTGTAGTACATATGCCGGGACTGTAAGTGGCGCTGTAACTTCCGCCAAAATACACCAAAAGCAGCGAAGAAGACCCCGGACCAGCCCCGCAGCAATGTTGCCATGGCTACCCTTCTGTTTATGCCCCGCGGTGGATTTAGCAACATGTAGTTCATGTAATTCTCCATGTTCACTTGTTGCTGATGGTTGTGGTAGAGGAGCTGTAGATGTTGTACTAACATCTGTAGCATGGTCAGTAGCAGTAGCACTAGCAGTAGCTACTGACACCCATTTTTGGTGTATCGCAGAGCGGACTGTTTAATTTTGTTTGTGTTGTTTGGCTGGAAAATTGTCAATATAATGGATCAATGCATGAAATCTGACTCAGTTTATTTTGTTTAAGGAGTATATTGGGCGTTAACAATTCTGGTTTGCCTTTTATAATATTACTTCATTCAAGAACCCCTTGTGCGTTTAATTAACACAGCTATTTTTGATAGTTGATCGTTACAGATGGCAGCAGAGGTCGGGAGAGGTGGGGCTATCATTATTTTTTCAGGAAATATTCGTATAGAGATGATTACACGGACTCGTTTGACCCCCCAGAGAGTTTCGTTTGCAAATCTATCCACCTTGGGACCCGTTATCGTTTGTGGGGTCCGTTTCTATCGGCCTCGTGTAAATAATAGGGCTATACGCACGCGAAACTATGCAGATACAAGCCGTTTTGTCCTCGTGTAAACGGCGCCTGAAGCTGTTGAGAGGTGTCATGGGGGATGGTGTCAGGACTGAACCCTCTGGCTGCCTTTACACAGGAACGTTTGCGTTTATGCACAGTATGCGTTTTCAAAAAAGTCTTCCGTTCACATGCATTTGTTTCATTTAACGTGTCTGTTCACACGAGACCGCTGGAAACGCTGTAGTACATATGCCGGGACTGTAAGTGGCGCTGTACTTCCACACGAGACCGCTCGAAAGCGCTGGACACGCTGTAGTACATATGCCGGGACTGTAAGTGGCGCTGTAACTTCCGCCACAAAATACACCAAAAGCAGCGAAGAAGACCCCGGAGCAGCCCCGCATCAATGTTGCCATGGCTACCCTTCTGTGTATGCCCCGCGGTGGATTTAGCAACATGTAGTAGTTCATGTAATTCTCCATGTCCACTTGTTGCTGATGGTTGTGGTAGAGGAGCTGTAGATTTTGCACTAATATCTGTAGCATGGTCAGTAGCAGTAGCACTAGCAGTAGCTACTGACAGTAGCTACTGCTAGTGCTACTGGCCATGCTACAGCAGTGAGCAGCAGAGGTGGGGAGAGGTGGGGCTATCGTTATTTTTTCAGGAAATGATCGTATAGAGGCGATTACACGGAGCCGGTTGACCCCCCAGAGAGTTTCGTTTGCAGATCTACCACCTTGGGACCCGTTATCGTTTGTGGGGTCCGTTTCTATCGTTTTGTTACGGCCTCGTGAAAATAATAGGGCTATACGCAAGAGCAGCGACGTGCAGTCAGTGGAGGCAGGGGAGGCAGAGCCTCACCTGTCATACTCCAATGTAACGGAAAAACAATTAAAGAAAAACTAAATAATAATAATAATAAAATGTCTCCACTGATCTTGTGTAAATGTGATTTCTGTATGATTCCAATCGCATTTTATAGTCAAAATCAGCAAATTTGCCGAGCTCCGCTACGGGAGCGATGAGAAGTGAGGCAAGCACGAGCACTGCCTCACGTAAACCCACAGTAACTTGCTGGAGCACGGGCACTAATTTAGCGCGGCCACTTATTTTGTGAGCGCGCTCAAGCCATTTACTGTGGGGTGACGCATTCTGAGGGGAGGCACAGATGAGCCCTGCCTCAATTCAGAATGCGTCACCCCACAGAAACTGGCTGGAAAGCGGGCCCTAAGCGCATGCCTGTTCCCATCTCACTGTAGGTCACCAATGTAATGTTTGTAGATCCCTTTATTACATTTATCCTCGCCATCCATAGTCTCTAAATAACTTATTTCACGTATATATGATATTTAGGTTCGCTGGTCTCTCGAACAACGGCAATGAAAAAATCACCAGGGGAGGCAGCCATAACCTCTGCCGCACTGAAGGGGGCGCACGTGAGCCCACAGGTTCTTGTTGCTACTGTTATTCTACCGCAAACAACAAAGAAACTAGACTTTTGAAACTAGAGGAAGATAAGGAGGACTTTTACAAAACAGTAATAGAGATTGTTGTCCAGAAGGATAGCATGGACTTCATCTTCAAATCAAGGTAAGACCACAACTGTAATGAAAATGGGATCTTACTTAGAAAGAACAATCCAATATTTAGATTTTGGGTATCCTTTTGTTGATCGGTCTGTTTAAAATTAATCATAGCATCAGACTAAAAAAGCTTTTGAAAATAACAGAATATTTCGATTAAGGTCAAAATAGGCTATAATATTTGTAAATCTGACTCTGAAAGAGTCAGTGCCTCACCAGCCATGAACCTCACCGCACGTCACTGCGCAAGAGACACTATGCAGATACAAGCCGTTTCGTTCTCGTGTAAAGGGGGTCTCTGTCTTCAAATCTGCAGTAGAACTGATTCAGATCGTTTGCAAGGAGTCGGTCGTTCATGGAGGGTGAGGCTTTTGGCTTGTAGTTTGTGATCTGTCTAGCTGAACAGCCAATCAGAGTGATTGCAAAATGTAATGGAGTAGAAGTATGACAAAATAGTACTTAAGTACAGTACTTGAGTAAATGTACTTAGTTACTTTCCACCATTGCCACTGAGTATTGGCAGGTCACGGCTGTATGCTGATGGAACGTGATGTTGTTTCATGTTCCCCAGCAGGGACTGTGCCGCCTGGATCTACTACAACACATTCAGAAGATAACCTCTTCTTGTTGAGAAGAGTCAGAAAAGCTACTTAACATTAGGTAAGGTATAATTATATACAGCTCATGTCGTTTTTTTCAAAGAAATAAAGACAAGCCTATATTATATATAAGACTCAATATTATTTGTATAGCCCAATAAAACATTAAATATCTCGATGGATTACAGCAGGACAAATGTTCCCATTCAAACCAAGCTCTCCAAGATGACAAAATAACAAAAAAGGAGGCAATTATAATAACAAGGCAATGACGCGAATGAATATAAAATTGTTACAGTTTATTTAAAAACATATTACAACAAAGGGACTGCAATCTAACAGTAAAATCTAATCTAACAAATCAGAAGAAATATGCAATGAGTCCAATACAATCAGAATTGTAGTGATGACACAAATACACCATACATGACACTATAAATTATGTTTGTACATTATTTAATATTCATTATATAAGTTTGTCCTTCATAAATAAATTAATGATCTGAGTAACCTACGCTCAACATAATAAAGTATCCGATGGGGTCTTATGGCCAGAGACTATTCACGTTTCCATCATTTGTACATATCAATAAATACTCTTTAATCAACAAACAAGTCTCTAAGGATTCAAATGTATTTATGTTGGTAAGCTTTCACAAATGAGCAGAGGTCGAGATGTTGAATGATTTTAAATGTCCATGCTTTCAACACAACAACAACATTCCATTCACATCTGTTGTATTTGGCATGAGAGCTGTCCTGGAAAACAGCTTGATGGAACGACTGATCTGAAATCTAAAATCATCTTCTTTCTGCATGGAGCTCTTAAAGAGGCGGCTTACTGGCAGCTAATACAGATGTTTGCTCTTCTGAATGTGTATCCTCAAGAACTGCCAGAAATGTAATATAATGTACACTTCCTGTAATGTTTCACCTATCTGTGTCGGTGTATAGCTTTCAAACCTGAGCACTGAGTTATTATGAATCCTAAGAGGCATACATAGCTTAGAAATAATATGTGATTATAAAGAAGCCTATATTGACATCTAAATAAAACCTACTTTAAAGAGGCATTAGTGAGACTGAAACAATGAATACATGCACAATGATTCATATATTATCATCAAAGCATATTCTCTATACAAGATAAGCACCAAATTTAGATTTGTGGATGAGATCGAAGCCCTCCTTTATTAACACGCTGAGTCTATCGTTTTTTGACAATTTAAAAAGCTGCCCGCCAAACAGGTTCCTGTACTGCAGTGAATTGCACCTCAAACGGTCATAGACCACCATCAGGCTTTCAGGCTTAGGATAGCCTTCACTAGATCTGCGCAGCTCCCCTACAAACTTTGTGAACTTGGCAGCACCCTCATGCTTACAGACGCGGAATAAAGCAAAGTTCAGATAGACAAAATAGAAGCCATTCTCAGGAATCACAATGTTTGTTGCCACTTTGTTGGCTGGTTCAAACTCTGAATTCCATGTGATGACCTGTCCTTCAGGAATGCTCTCGTGACTCATAGACCCTGCAGGAAGAGGGACACTGTCAGTCACTGTTTCATTTAAACGCTTAAAATCCTCCTCTTACTCATTCTGTGTCACATGTGGACATTTTAAAACTTATCACACACAATAGTAGCTCATGATACTGCATGAACTATCACAGCAAGTCAACTGTATTATCAATTTCTCTGTGTGTGAGGTATAACACAGAGACAACAATGCCATTTCTCACCATACCAAGAATACAAATATATTCATATATACAAAATAACAAGGAACAACATTAAATATATAAAAATAGCAGTCTTCACACAATTTGACATGACACAGTTGCAAGTCTAGTCTGGTACACTAAAACTGATTAATATATCAAAAGGAATTAATATAATACAACAGTACAAATATATACAAGTAATACAAATAACAAAGCAGCTAGTAGAACAAATGAGTGTATTTAGATCTGTAGATCTTACTATGGTTGATTGTTGAGTTGTATAATGTAATGTGTTATAAGCTCTAGTTTATAACAGAGTATCCATCAGACACTTAGAAATAATTATTAAAGCATCATCATTCAGTATGGATAATACCATAATGCACTGTGGATGTGCTCTTCATAGGAAGTGGTTCCTGCATTGTTTTATTGCACTGCTGATGCTCCGGCTGTGTGCAGCGCTCTCCTGACTCACAGACTCAGGATGTCTCGCAGCATTTGGGATCTTTTTTCTTTGAAAGTCAGTCTTTTTTGTTTGAGATTTTGTAAACGAGGCGGGCTGTCATATCAATTCATACCAATACTGGGCATATTTAATTTTATTCTATTTCATTTTTACAGGTATATCTATATTTCATGTAAATATTGCTTTATTTTATTGTTATAATAGCTTTCTTAAAATAGTTTTTTATAATAGTTTAATTTTCTGGTCCATTTATTAATAAAAATGCATGAAATAACCGTCAAGGGGTAAAAATAATGAAACTTAAAACATACAGTACGTGTTTCAGGCAGTCGTGGAAAGTGACAAAGTATTTACTCAAGTACAGTACTTAAGTACAAGTGTGAGGTACTTAGCAGTATAATAAGTTATTGAAATTAGCTCCACCTTTACCAGCTGTGATAAAACACATCAATAATCAAAATAGTAACCCAGTAACTCAATATACATATGATTCTGAAAGGGTAAGGAGTACACATAAGGAGTACTTTTACTTTTGGTCCTTTAAGTATTTTTTGATGCAGATACCTTTGTACTTTTACTTAAAGGGGACCTATCATGCAAAATGCACTTTTGTACGTCTTTTATACATGAATATGTGTCCCCGGTGTGTCAGGGAACTCACCAAGTATCAGAAAACACAACCCTCTCTCTTTTCCTCCATACCCAAATCTCTAAAAACGGAGCTGCAACGGAGCTGATTATTATTTGAATTTTTCTGACGTCAGAAAAGGGGTGCTCCGCCTATATGGGCAACTCTCCACCTATCAGGGGAATGAGAGACCGCTCGAAAGCGCTGGAGACGCTGTAGTACATATGCCAGGCCTGTAAGTGGCGCTGTAGTCTGCCACAAAAGCAGAATCAGCCCTTGCAAAAACAGGGCTGGAAAAGAGCAAATAGAGCGAAATGAGGCATGGCTAAAATGCATGATCTGTTTGGTATTTTGAAAAAAAAACTTCACAGACATGTTTTATATAGGTATGGCCCTACAATATATGTTTCAAATATAGCATGATAGGTCCACTTTAAGTAAGATTTTGAATGCAGGACTTTTACTTCTACTACCACCACTGGATTCAGGCTATATCATCCAAAACAAAAGTCATGCAAAAATAAGTGAAATGTCCAGAAAACACTCACTGAGACTGACGTGCAGTCTGGTGAAGTTCGTCTGAGGGTCATCTGTGGAGTGAGAAAGAGAGCGGAGAGTTCAAAATGTTGCTCGCTTGCTAATCACATTTCAGGGAAAGCCTTACATGAGAAAGCAAAAAGCATGAGGAAGCTCTTTTAGTGGTGCAATCACACCTCATGTGATACTGGGCAGGGCTTAGGGAGGGGAGAGCAGTCCTTCTACACCTTTAATAAAGTGAATGACACAGCATACCTGCAGGAGGACATCTCTCTTGCTTGGAGTAGGCTGGACTTTGCTCAACATTGATCTAGGATTAAAAGAGAACACATCTTAGTTTTCTTGTTGCATTTGGTCAGACACCTTAAATTGCTGCTAGCTTGTTGGGAACACAGTCCAAATGTGATGGTGTGTTCACAGTGACAGCAGGAGCGTCCTCACATACAGTGGGTCAGCACTTTCTGATGTTGTAAAGCGTATTTGAGCACTGGGAAAATCGCTATAAAAATATGATGGATTATTATTATATGTTTGGTTATCTATCATTTATAGTTCCTCTGTATCCTCTGAGATTTATTCTGCAGTGTGACCTGGAGGGTTTGTTGTCTTTAATGATGTATGGGATGCAATGAGTTTTAGCAGCACTTTAACCAATGTGTTCACAAACCCCATTTCAATGTTTTATCAGAGGTGGGAGAAGAACTCAGATCTTGTACATAAGTAAAAGTAGAAGTTGCAGAGAGTAGGAATACTCTGTTACAAGTAAAGGTCCTGCAATCAAAATCTTACTCAAGTAAAAGTATATAAGTATTAGCATCAAAATATAGTACCAAATGTAAAGGTACTCATTCGGCAGATTGAAATACTCAAGTACAAGTCTCTTAACATTGTATTTAAGTACAGTTATTGAGTAAATATACTTAGTGACTTCACACCACTGTCATCATCTGTTGTACCCCATCTCTAATAACCCTCTGCATCAGTAGAGATGCAGTTTACTGTGCATTGTGACCAGTGTACTAACGCGTTACAAAGTAACGCATTACTGTAACGCCGTTATTTTTGGCAGTAACTAGTACTCTAACGCATTATTTTTTTAATTCAGTAACTCAGTTACCGTTACTACATGGTGCGTTACTCCGTTATTTTTTTGATATAGTCTCGGCTCCCAGACGTTGGTGAGCGGCGCCAACAGCGAGGCGAACAGAGATGAGAACTGTACTTAAGTACAGTACTTGAGTAAATGTACTTAGATACTTCCTGTGTCACATGCGGAGACGCGCTTGTGGGCGTGTTTGTGTTTACTCACAAGACTATCATGGCGGCGGCGGAGCTCAAGTTGAGTTTCTCCGCCTGGAGATATTCTCACTATTTCACTTTTGTCGAGCACAAAGAAAAGAACGTTTTAGTTAAATGTAAGTTGTGTCTTGGCGGGTCAAAGATCCTATCTACTGCCCAAAACAGCAATTCAAATCTGTTGAAACATCTGCAGAAACAACATGCTGGGACGAAGCTAGTAGAGTGTTTGTATAGACCACATTGCTTAGCAGAGTTCAGTGATGCAAATGCATGTCAAGTTGATCAACAGATTGTATTATTCTCCAATGCAATAACAGTACTGAAATGAAGGCTATAAGGGCATTAATGGGAGCCCTTTTTTTAAGTAACTAAAAAGTTACTGTTCACAGTAACGCATTACTTTTTGGTGTAAGTAATCAGTAAAGTAACTGAGTTACTTTTGAAATGAAGTCATTAGTAATGGTAACTAGTTACTGGTTTTCACAGTTGATCATGGAGTTAAGGTAGGTTCAAAGTTCACCAAACCCAGGGTTGGGTTGTAACGGAATACATGTAACGGCGTTACGTAATCAGAATACAAAAATCATGTAACTGTATTCAGCTCGCGTTACATTTGAAAAACGAGTAATCTGATTACAGTTACTTTCGTAAACCTGAAGTGAATACATTTTGGATTACTTATTGGAATTATTGGTGGAAAGATTTCCTCACAACATTTAATATTCATTACTAAAGGTACAGCCGAATCATCACAGCGCACAAACCCTATTACCGCCGCAGATGGACCAAAAAAGGGAGCGTTTGCGGGTCCTCTCAGTGAAACAATAACCACGAAACATGGAGGAACAAAAGTCTGTGTTTAAATCGTGTGTGTGTGTGTGTGTGTGTGTGTGTGTGTGTGTGTGTGTGTGTGTGTGTGTGTGTGTGTGTGTGTGTGTGTAGAGGTGTGTGTGGTTAAAACACATCAGCCTGCGGTCGCTGGTTAGCCTTTCTAATGATTCTGAAGGTAAACACAGTGAAGGCGTTGCGTGAAAGGCGGTGCGTGAAAGGCACTGCGCGCTCCTCTTCTCAGAGGCTGAGTTAACCCTCCCGCTGCCTCCTTGTGCTGCAGAGATTTCATAAAGTGAAGGAGGTTTTCCTTCTATAAAACAGCTCTGGGCAGCAGATACTGTGAGAGTCCCGGACATGAATTCATAGATCAAGGCAGACTGGTGCACAGTGCACACACTCTCCTGTTTTGCCAATCCGGTGCTTAAACAAATATAGCTCTACACCCCTGGCCGAAATGTCCTTAAAATGAAGTCCGAGTTCGACATTTTAATTCATGTCCTGCCAACACTGGCAGGACAGAAGGCGACACGCCCGTTCTAAGCGGTGTCCCTCACTCCTCACATCCCAAGCTGCATCCCCAAAAAGTGTATTATGTTGTTACATCGTTTCAGATGTTATGTTTCAGTTGCGCTCTTGATAAGCCATTAAAACAGTAAAAACACGTTCAGTTTCCTTTTGCTTTTTGTGTCTCCAAAACATACCCATCTGTGATGGAAAAAGAAAGTAATCCAAAAGTAATCTAAAAGTAATCTGATTAAGTTACTTTTTTAAGACACGTAACTGTAACTGTATTCGGATTACTTTCAGAGCCATGTATTCAGTAATCAGTAACTGATTACATTTACAAAGTAACCCTCCCAACCCTGACCACACCTCACACTTCAGGGTTTAAGTTAATAAGAGTCACATATTCATACTATGTCCTAATATTACATGCAATCTGACAGTGATGTTTACATGCTCTCATCATCAATGTGCAGAATCAACTAAAGCTCTCTGAATATAAGGAAACCTGAGCCGATAAAGAGAAAGCTTGGAATTTACCACTTCTTCTTTGGATCCACTTTGTATTAAACCAGCCCACATGGCGAACATGAGGAGCGCAGTGCAGCCGAGCAGCAGCAGCAGAGTGAAGAGTCTAAGGCGCGTCTCCTGCCGCTTCATTTCCCGGCAGTGCTCCATTAGGACGAGCACAGACTGGTCTGGGCCCAGATCCATCACCACATCCCCATCAGCATCCTCAGCTGAACCACGCGTTCCAATCAGAGTGTGTCCCATAGCGGCAAGCCTTCTCTCTGTCAAAGTGTGTGTAAACTGCCTGACACTCACAAGAGCTCCTCTCCTGTGATACATGCAGGCTCTTATATTGGCATCTGAACAGTGGGTTGCGGCCTACCGCCTCCAACACTCTCCTCAGTCTGGGGTGACCTCATCTGTCCATGGATGCAGATGCGGGAGAGGAGGAAGAGGAGGAGCACAGAAGGGGGACCCAGTCTCCAAAATATGCAATGTGCATTCCAGTCATATTCAAAGTGTTACTATGTAAGGGGTATGTAATCCAATATCAACAAAACAAAAACAATAAAACAGATGAAGACTTTTAATTGTGTTGTGTCCTCTTACTACCATCTGTGTTTGGTTGAAAAAAAAGAAAACAGAAATGATTGAGTTAAAGGTGGGGTAGGTCATTTTGGAGAAACCTGCTCGAGTGCGCTAGAATTTGAAAATACACAGCCCGAAAAAATCTGCCACTTCCTTACAGAGCCCCTCCTCCAACACACACGAACGCGCACATGACCAATGAGGGCACGAGATAAGTTTGTGCACAGATGGAAGGCTGACAGGCAGGTAGGCCATCCAGTTATTTTAGCCGGGCCGGTTACAGTATTACGACTTCCACAGATTACATCTGGATGGATTTTTTGTCAAAGCACTTAAGATATTCATTGCTATCGGGATGTTAAGAGCATTCCATGGAATATAACAAAAATTATAAAACGGACAAGTCAAATCAAGCAATCTGATTGGTTCTTAGCCGTGATATACTGAGCGTATACCACGGGTAGAATTGTAAGTTACTTTTCACAACAAGTCAGTATCCCTCCGCGTCTGAGAAAAACAGTATACAGTTGGGCAGAAAAGCAAACTGCTTGCAGTTTGCTTTTCAAACTGGAACAAGAAAGCAGCGGAGAAGTAACGGGGCAGAAACCCTCCTTTTTACGCAGCGGTCCAGACATAGACATCAAACGGCAAAAACATATTCAGTGTGCAGTTCCTTTGGCATTAGGGCAGGGATATTTAGATACTTTCCAAGGTTTGACATAATGAATTGTGCTACTTTTAAAGCAAGCAACGATGTTTTCAAATCTGTAATCTGTCAGCAAAAACATTTAAGATTAACTTCGACCTCCGGGGGGGTCTTACTATGGAGGAGTGGATTGAGGAGTGCGAGTGCCTATCTCCAGAACAAAAAGCACCTAAACGACGACATGTAGAGCTACGTGAAGAGCAGGTAGTAGACCAACTGGAAAAGTATCACCATTCAAAAGCTTTCTGATGCGGGTCTTGAAACAAAGCAGAGAAATTATGACCGTTAGTGGCCACAGGTGCGAAAGCTCTCTCCAGAGCTACTGGAAGCCCAATCTCGGGGACCGGAGAAAGTGGAGCAATATTCTCGCCACGCCAAGCAACAGCCTAGAACAACCTCAGCCTATAACCACGTAAGCCATTCTACTGATGCTGGACAGTTTTTCAGTGGGTGCACAATAAACGGCAACATACACATTAATGTAAATAAATAGCCAAATAATGGATCAACGCTCTCTGTCTAATATGTTCGCTAGCTGTTGTTAGTGTTGTTGCATAGCAACCACCTCGCACTATGTTTCGTGCAGAAGGCAACGGAGGGACTATTTTATTTGTCGACCTCCGCTTCGCGTCGGGCCGAACCACGCCCCTTAACTGTGATATAATGGCCATATACCACGGCCTGTCGTGAGCTATTGCTTAAGTGTATCTCGAGCCGGTTTCTCAAACTTACCTACCCCCCTTTAAATCCAGATTCTTTTTTTTTTTCTTTTTTTTTTAAATATCATGTGTTTCTTAAGAAGTACTAAGTTGTTTGGCTCCATTGTGAGCATGGCAGATGTAGACATGCTGCTGGCTGCTGAACGCTCCGCTCTGACGTCTGCCTGCAGCGCTCATGATATCAGTTTTCAGATGCTGCTGCATGAGGCTGAGGGAGCTGAAGCAACAGTGACGTTGTCTTTTTGTTCAAACATAACTAATGCCAGGTGAATATTGTTTTTGACTTTGTCACTTTAAGTAAGAAGTCTCACTCTCAACTAAACCTGTTTTCTTTCTGGCTGATGATTAAACCTGTGAAAAAGAAACGGATTTAGTTAATACGGATAGTTAGTTGGTCTGATAGCTAATGGATTTGTATTGTAAGATTTGCCACAATGCTTCCAAAACCTTTTTTTTAATAATACCTTTACTATCTTTATGTAAACTGGTGACCCCTTTCATTTTATACTAATAACAATACATAAAATGACAGTAACGATCTGATAAACTGAACTATCAACCCAAACAGCGAACAGTAATAACAGAAGATGTGTGCAAAACAAGCAATTTGAAAGAATTTAGGGAAGATTATTTCCTGTAAATAGAGATCAGTTTTACTTTCTTTTTTAGGGAGGACAATTCTGTCTGTATTGTAATGTTCTGTCTTTAATCATTATTCAAATGTATAGGGCCTTTGTCAGAAAATTCCCTGTGCTCTTCTCCCGGACTGATGGAGGTTTTTCTCTGCATGTTTCTAATGCAGTACTGTTCACAGAGAGGCTGATCATGTGAGATATCTGATACAAATCCAAACTTTAAAAAACAACACTTTGATTTTGTTTTATTCACAGAATTAAATGAAAGACAATGGTCAACTGTAATTTATTTTGCTACAACTTTTAAAATCATGATGCCCCCTGAAGCTTTGCCGACCCCTAGTGGGTCTGGACCACCACGTTCGAGACCAGTGCTATACAGTAAATAAAGTATTATATATATTTTCATACATAAGATATTCATATTTATATTTTCACATGGGTTGATTAATGATACTAGAATAAAGAGAGAGTAAGCCATGTGGTGTGCCGCTGCTAGAGGACTTGATCTCTCTTTTTAAGTTATGAGTTCCACCATTAAGAAAATCCTGAAGTCACGTCCCTTACTGGAGAGTTGCATCAGTGTGAGCAAGTCCCGACTCATCAGTGCTGTCAGTGTTTTATGGAAAAGTACAGCAGACAATCAGTTCAGCTACACAGCTTTTACCCATCAGGCAAAGCTAAAGCACAGAACAATATTAATAAATCAAAATCATCAAGAAAATTATGAAAAGCTTCTGATTGACGGTTGGTGGCATCATCAAAAGGAATATGCAACTTTTACATTTTTTTTAAACAATATGTTTATTAATTGTCATTCTTTTAAACAACAAGACATGACATACCTTAGACATACTTACAACAACAACAAATAAAAATAAAACAAATAATTTGAAAAACATAGGCAAAGACAAGACAAGACATCCTTACACAAATTTAATAAAATTGAAATATATAATAAAAATAAAAGACATTAAATGAAATGAAATAAAAAATAAAAAACAAAAACAATTGGGCAGTAGCAACATTATCCTAAAAGGTGTACATAGTCACAGCAGATTAAGAAGTACTTTACTTTTCCATTCAACCAGATCGCTCTCATGGATTCCCATTGTTATTTCTCAGCATGTTTGACACATTAAAGGGCCCATGTCATGCTTTTCCGGTTATTACCCATCCCCTTGTGTGTTATGAAGCTTGTTCTGCATGTAAACGGTCTGCAGAGTCACAAACCCTCAAAGTACACCCTGTAGCGAGTAAAACTCTAACACAGAAAAGACCTGTCTACACTCTAAAAAGTCATTCAGGGGACCTTTTACCACCACTTAATTAAATGCATGGTTGCAAGATACAAATTTGAATTAATTGATTTAGACAAACATTTTAAGTTGCAAACATTCATTTATAAGTTGTGTTAACGTAATAATGTTGGTAATTACATCAACTTAATATTGTGTGTAATTTAAACTCGGATTTCTGCGTTAATTGACTTAAAACTAAATTCAAGTTGTAGTAAGTAATGCAATTGGCTTGATAACTTAATTTTTCTACACCTTGAGTTAAGGACTTCAAGTCCACTCCCACTTAACATGCCTGGACAAGTTCCGACAGTTAAGACTGTGTATTCGAGCACATAGGCTGAAGAAATACTATACAAAGGACATTTTAAGTTGAGTGTCATCTTTTGTCATTGAAATACAGTAGATGTAGTGGCACTGCATAGGCAAATTGTTGTTTGACCAAAATTAACAGCCTTTGAACTGTGGATAGTTCTGTGAGAGGGTACAAAGTAGTAGAGGCAGAGAGTTTCTTTTCTGTGTTTCTTGCTCATTTCATGCAGTGTTTTATATCTAGAAAAACCTGTGGGAAGACCTGTTAGATATGGTATTTGTATTGTACAAATACTTTGGTTACTATTGTGATTGATTTTTTTTGTGTAAAATTTGACAAGTGGCTTCTGCTCTTCACTTAACCAGTTCAAATATTGTATGGAACCTGCAAAAAATATGAGAAGGAAACTTCAAAGGCAAAGTACTCAAAAGCACCTCTGTGTGTCTTCAGGACCACATTGCCATGATGACACACATGCAGACTCACAAGATGAAAACAATACCAGCGTCGCTTTAGCAGCTGGTAATAATGGCTCTGAATTCACAAAGAGTGACGGTTTAAAAAGTATGCAATTACCTAATTCATTCCGGCTCCAGTACCGGCCCAAGCAGCCATGGTTCCGGCTCCAGTACCGGCCCCAGCAGCCATGGTACTGGCTCCAGTACCGGCCCCTGCAGGCATGGTTCTGGCTCCAGTACCGGCCCCTGCAGCCATGGTTCTGGCTCTAGTACCGGCCCCTACAGCCATGGTTCCGGCTCCAGCAGCTATGGTTCTGGCTCCCGTACCGGCTCCAGTTCCGGCTCTCCGGCCCACTCCAGCCTGTCAGTGGTCCGGCCCACTCCAGCCCATCGTGTCCTGTCAGTGGTCTGGCCCACTCCAGCCCATCGTGTCCTGTCGACGTTCTGGCCCACTCCAGCTCCCCGTGTTCTGTTGGAGGTCCCGCCATCACCTGTTCCGCCGGGGGTCCTGCCGACACCATGTCCTGTTCCGTTGGGGGTCCAGCCGACACCTGTTCCGTCGGGGGTCCTGCCAACTCCATGTCCTGTTTTGTTGGGGGTCCCGCCGACTACTGTCTTGCTGAGGGTCCTGCCAACTCCCTGTCCCGACCTGTTGGGGGTCCCGCCGAC